GGGTTTTCAGCGACCTTATGAGTAGTCTTGTTCAAGCAAAGATGAAAGCAAGATGAAATACGAAACGGCCTTTGTGCAACACGTTCATGATAGAGAGACTGAACCAGGGTTCATTTGATATCCCTGTTGATGACAGTTCAGTGAGTGAATCTTACTGATGGCGTACAATTTGGCACACAGGTGGAACACAAGTTTGAGGGAAACTCGAAGGCTATGTTCACCTGCTGAGCCTGAAGAAGGCAGAACACAGTTGTGAATAATAAGCCAAGTTTTGAGGCCAAACATTGTTCACAAACTATACGCCTTAGGTTGGTTTACCCATCGATCGGTTGGTCTGATCATGGTCGACTGATGACTGTGCTCTCTACACATGATTGGTTGGTTTGCTTATTCAAATGGCTGCGCTTACGTACCTTCACATATGTCGGTTTTACAGCACAGGACCTCCCTGGATGATTCCGATCTAAGGGTACTGCGCTGGGCACAAAAGTGCGTTAAAACAACTTGTGGTGGTTGGGTGCAGGTGGCTTATCAATCCACCATCGATCTATTTGTCGCGTGGAATATTCTATTCATCCTCGATCGAATGTTTTTGCTCCCGAAACGCCACTGACTTTAATACAGTGACTAACATTGATGTTTTTGGGATCCCGTCATCAGGTCAATACATATATACTAGCCATAATTCGAATAGATAATGAAAATAACTAGCTGAGACTGCTTACTAGATTAGACTAGACCCATATCATATTTCATTGGATGAACCGTGGAACAACTTGGTTGGTCGATTCGTGTCACATGACCAATGCAGAGTCAGCGCCCGCAAGAATCGTTTTTGCCGGCACCGTATCAGATTACGCAGTAATATGGTGTGACTAATGCTGTTGTGATCAAGCCACTCCGTTGGATCGATACTGGCAGCCTATTGGGTACTCGGTGGACGGGTTGAAACGATTCGTCCGGATTGACCGGTGTCAATTATGTAGAACACGATTGAGTTTTTTTCCACTGAACCGTTGAGTCTAGTTGGGTTTCGGCAACAGAGATGCTCACGTATTCTCTAAACAGGTTACCGTGACATGTGCTCAGCGTATTCCACTGAACAGCAACAGAAGAAAGAATAAACAACCATATTCTGGTTGAGGAGTCACTGAATTCTGAAATGACGCTAACGTGCTCCAAGCCAACGATTATCCGGAGAGATTCATAACCAAGTATATGCCCGAACACCCGATAAAACTATCTGTCTGAAGCCAGTCTACTTGAGTCTACCCTATAAAGACAATCTGTTGGCATATGGTCAAACGCCAACTGTTTACAGTGCATGTTTTCGGCCGTAACTCTGCGGTCTTGGTTTACAACCAACCCTCTGCTTGACTGGAACCTCGATGACAAGACGCCAGTCTTCACCCAGAATATGGTTGTGTATTATTTCTCCCGCTGTTGTTCAGCGACAACTTGCTAGGAGAATACGTCGGCATCGATCTTTCCGCAACTTCAAGCGTTCAACGTGATTCCTTCGTACTTCAACGGGGATAAAACTGCAGAGATGCATACATTGACCAGGCAATTTCATTTTTTGCAGACACTGCATTTGACAAAGCCGTCAGCTGTACGTGTAAACAGGATGGTCTGAGATGACAGTGGGTCCTTCCTCATGGATCATAGGCCTAGCTCAGTGAACACTGTTCGCACTCTGAATGATTCGAATGATGGTTGCTCACTGCTCACAGATTAGTTGTCAGCCTTAATGAACAGGCTTAAATTGCGTCACACCCTGTTATTTTTCTCACAAGTCCGGATACAACAACAATGCGTATCGCCTTTCAAGTAGTTTTTGGCTTTGATGATCCCTTCTGGGGTAGACCTGTCACGAAGAGATTGGACCTTACCTTGAGCACCTCAGCGGTCCATTGAACTATACTGGGGGGGGGGGTGTTCCCGTGATATTCACAGTCTCTCATACCAGATTGGTTAGAGGTCTGACGAACACAGTCTCCTGGCCCTCCAGGTTGGGGGATGGAACATGTGTGGCGACGTGTTCCGTAGAAATGGTAATACATTTGCATTTCCCGCCAAACACCGCCGGCTTGCGGTTAGGCTTTTGAGCCAAAGGCTCTGGTTGAGGACCCTAATCGTCCTCCTGTCTAGGTGTGGGCGCCCTGGCAGTATCCCAGTCCTCGTACAACCAAGACATCCTAACGGCAGAGAAGCATTGGTGTTGAACACTGATGTCGTGCTGTCGATGATGATAATGATGACGATGATGATGATGATGATGATGATGATGATGATGATGATGATAATGATGAGCGGCAAATAGTATGAGTAGTGAAAGTCTCCCAAATAGCTCGGCCCGTTTCATCACTTGGTTCGGTTCAATTTTAGCCATTTCAGACGTGTTCCTTCAGGAAACTATTCTGGAATATCTCAGATATCTTCCAGACAGAAACGTGAGATAGCCTTCGTGCAGTACATTCAGCTAGGGAGAGAGATTCAGCTGGGATTCAAGTTAGTCGCCGGTGAAAACCAAATTCCCAATCAAACAAGTGTTGTTCACGAATTTCAGGTTGACTGAAAGGAGCATTAGGAACTGTGCTAACCTGATTAGCTGGAAGAAGGGTGGTGAATCTGTCATAGGCATTCAGTAGGATTTCCGCAACCTTCAAGAAGCTATGTTAGGTTCTACTTTGTACGCCGGTAACTGTTGAGCTGCATTCACCCTCCTGCAGAATGAAGATGATTGGTAGGAAACCCCGAGGAACCGGCAAAATTGAACGAACCTGCATCCACCAAACTCATCCTGTTGTCTTAGTCAATCCTGCCATACATACACTAGAATTCATGTATCGAACATCCGAGCGCATTCGTTCCTCTACCGGTCCCCATATTCCATTGGTTATTTTATCTGGTTCTCAATCGACTGATTTCTATCGCACGATTGCCTTGTGTTTGGCACTGATATCGATCGATGGTTTTAACAGAGATGCAACCATCCACGTGACCCTCCACTTCGGTGACCCAGGTTCGACTCCCACCGATATTCATTTGTTAGTGGAGCCATCTTGACATTCAGTAGAAGTGTTCGGTTTCGGAACTTGGAGAGCTTTTCAACACATGGTTGATTGTCAAATTTCAATACTCATAAATTGACCAATAGGCCAAAAAGGGGGTGAACACACTCGGAAATGAAAACTTCGCCTCTTCGAAATGAATTCTGGTAACTAGAATCCCTGCTAGATTCACTCGTGGGTCTCGAAATTGCCAACGATAAAGCAAACTGTACAATGACTTTTCAATGGGCCAGCGAATCGATTCTATACATAAGACCAAGTTGGTCCGCGTAATTCGCTTTCATCTAGCAGCATTTACCACCACAGTTAGTACAAAGGAAACGATAACAAAAAAAATTTTTGCCCTAACAACCGTTTACATTTGCCATGATCGATCACAACCTAAACAGTGGTGGAATGAATTCTAAATGCCATTTATGCTGTCAAAAGTCAGTCAGAGTAAAGAGGAACCACACAGTTTGAGAGACAGAGATGCCAACGGTATTCACGTGACCTGATTGCAAGGCAGGTTCCTGATTGGTCGATTTCGACCGCGATGAGGGTAACGACCAAATGTGTCATAGTTTTGTTGGGGGGGGGTTATGCTGCGAACGAAGGAGGCCTGGAAGTGTTGGCCATACGTTGAAGTACTAGGGTACCATTATTAACACTTGATCGTAATATTTCCGCATGCTGTAACTGTTCACCACGATATCTTATCCCGCAGTTCACGCCGTGCAGGCCTTGAGTTTGTTGTATCGATCCATCAGCCACTCGGTGCAAAATATTCATCATCATCACCATCATCATCATCATCATCATCATCATCACCAATAGCATAACGCCATTGGTCACCGATGTTGGGCAAGTTCGCTACAGCAGGTGACCGTGTCCCCTTCATATGGTTGGTTGAATTCCCTATTGGCTTGCGTTGCAATTATGCGTCTCCGTTTCGGAATGAAGGGCGTACCTACATGGCGTTTGTGATGATGCATTAAGACTTTGCTCTCAAAAGTGTCACGAAAATGAGATCGCTGAAGGTCACTTAAGTTATATGAAGCAGTGGCGTGAACAAACATTTAAAGCAAACGACACAGGGTGTAATCTAGCCATATTCATGTGACGGCCCACGGCCACCGTTACATTCGGATTCTGTCCGAATCAGAACACGTGAAAAGAGCGGCAACAATCCTAGGCATATAGTAAGTAGTCTGTCCTCTGGCACAAACTTGGGACCACAGATTCCCGTTTACCTTAGAGCAGTTCGAAGTGACCTTGAATACCTATCCTGGACCGACAAAATCGCTCTGTATTGTGCGAACTTTGCCTGCATCCGTGGCTGGTATCATTTGTACTAGCCTTGCGCTTGTTCGTCGAATCAGAGCAATGCGAATGAATTCGGTTGAAGCACATGTGAATACATACAACTGTCTGACCACGCAGTTAGATTCAAGCTTAAAAAACTGTTCAGACAACCCCTCCCTCACTGATTTAACTGGGTTAAAGTGTTCTACTTTGAATGGGCCACTGGGAACCTCCGAGAGGATACCGATGAACACTGAGATTGTAACATCTCGCGAAATCCACTCATTTGGGTACCACTGTGATTTTTACGAAGAACCTGACTGGGATCTTTTCCAGATCCCCTAAGGGTCTTTTCCAGATGAGCCCCGTCACTTTTTCCAACTCCAATTTAATGTACGCACACAACCTTGACCTATTTTTGATAAAAATAATTCCTTATCCGCATCTAGACTCATTTTGTGCAAACATCTTCTCCGTTCGGACCTTCGTAAAACATTAAATGAACTTTCTGACGGTTTCAAATCTCGTTCATGACAAAGAGACTGCAATACGTTTTTGCAAAGCCACGGAGTGATCCATCAACAACGTTTATGCAACAATGGCCACCTTTCACACTTAGACACTTTCAACTGTTTCTGACAGGTGGGTGTGTAATGCCCGATATTGTCAGCAAGCAATGAGCCTTCGAAAGGGGATCTGCTGGGAAACCAAAGAGGTGTTCCTGTATGAATTGCCTGATCGAACTGCGGTCACTTTGATGGACACAATCCAGGCCTGCATGGCTCCCGACTCAAACACTATCTCCGATGTGTGGACATCATACCAGGGAATTGAAACGACGATTGACGTGAATTATACTCATGAAACGGTTAATCATACCGAAAACTTTTTGGATCCAATGACTGGAGCTCACACACAAACCATCGAATCTCTTTGGCACGTCTACGAGATTCAGAATGAAAGCCAATGCGGCACACATCGATATTTAGTGGACAGCCACTTGTGTGAGTTCGTTTGGAGGCAAAAGTAGCGGAAAACGGATCTTTTCATGCAAATTACTAACGATATGTCCCGATTTCACCCACTTCAATAAAAACTAAAAGTACAAATTTCATATCCCCTCGAATCTCCCTGTTATGATATTCTTTAGCTGAAGGAGATTAACAGCGAAGGTAAAAACCGGTCTTGGGCTTTCGAAAAGTTTTCAACAACCTTATGAGTAGTCTCTTTCAACTGCCGGTCGACTACCGTTCTCCCGAATGACTCTCAGTGTTTGACGAAAATTATTTTAAAAGGATGTGCAAAAATATCCATCTGTATTTACGTGCAAACGGTTGCGGTTCGTGTTCTCTCATAATCCTGTCGCACTGACCTTTCAGGGAGGCCACGTGATCGAGTTTGACTACCTTCGCTCCCAAAGTATGATGAGGAATCTCTAATGTACCCACAACAGAATCACCTGGTTGGCCGGACAATGCAGATCGATAATTCTCAGAGTCTTCATGATGAAACTTTTGTCGGACTCCTACTTGAACTCATTACGACGGTTTGGATCGGCTCTGTTGATTGGTACTCATGAAGTCCACCTTGAAAATCAATGACAATTGACGTTACTAATCTAACTCATCAGCAACAGTCCAATTACTGATTGAATTTTTTAATCAGCCCAACGATTTTCATGCAAGCGCTCTATCCGTCCGCGCAATGTGGGTCCAGGCTTGACGGAAACTCTATGAATCCATTTACCTGATAAATCCGTAGAAGGGAGAAACCGGCCATAAACTGTCAAGGGTTTTCAGCGACCTTATGAGTAGTGCATTACGCCCATAATGTGTATTGAGCTATCTCCAACACCGTATTAACTGAAACATGAGGCGGCCTGATGCAGCACATTCAGTTGAAGAAAAACTGATTCAGGTGAGTCTTCCGTGAAAACCGAACCAGTACACAAACAAATTTATCGGTGAATTTCGAGCGTTCTCTTCGCTAGTAATTGTACAACCTAATCAATGGATTGCTGGTGATTCCATAGTGTTGTAATGATGAGTTTCGAGGTGGCGGATACCTAAAGGTGGGTGACATGTGGCATGGAAAATGGAATGCGGAACGGTTCGGAAATGGTGACGGAAACTTTGAGGTGACAGAAGGATGTTACGAAAATTCTTCGCGCTGTTTGCCTTCCAGGATGGAATCCACGTGCCCCCACCCCTGTGCTTGACTGAACGATAGAGTGTTTAACAAATGGCAGTAAACTTGTCAGTTTCTACCCCAAGTTTTTGAATGAATGCTGGAGATTCGGGTGCCCCGGAGATTTCTGCGTAGGCTAACATTAGGTCCCATCCACTACCCGATTTCTTTCTTATTTCCTCTAGACGGCTGTGTTCAAACAAACCGATGTTTTTTGTTCACATTCACATCACTCTCGTTTGAACAGTCGTCCTCCTGTCCTGGCGCAATTATTCTGGTGAATCCACACCAAAGGGGGAGAGGAGCACTGAACTCGAGTTTCGCTCATCAGCAGTGCACATCCAATGGCCGTGCCGGGACTTGAACCCCGGACATCTGACATGCGAGGCAAACGCGTTACCACTATTCCACCGGCGAACGTTGGACGCTTCTGAATTAGCGTGTCTGAACGGATGAACGTGTTCACGCTTGAGCGAAGTGATTGGTATACTCGACTCACCATCGATACAACGACCCAGTAACTGTCCTGGTTGTGATGTTTCTAAGGCAGGGAAGCACCAGCGTCAACACTGATGTTGTTGTCTCTGATGTTGATGATGATGATGATGACAACGATGAAACTAACCTCTATCGATTATGTCAAACAGCCTTTCGGTCCTTAGATGCCATCCATCTCGGACAAGATGACCGCCTATGAATTACCAGATAGACCAAACTTAGCGATTCGCAAGCGAAAGGCACAGGTGGGTTCGAAACAAGAACCCTCCAGACTTTCGAGTCTTTGGGTGCAACCAAATAATCAGCGTACAGTGGACTCAACCGGTAATTTCACCAGGATATGGAATGAATTCTCCTCATACGCCACGACATCACTTTACATCAGTAGAAAAAAACAATGTTTCGAATTAGTTGGAAAGCCATACACCTATTGTTTTGAACTGGAAAAGCAGTCAGGTGTATCGATCCTGTCTGTGCATTCTCGTTACATTTTTTATCCATTTGTTGTACCAACTGTTTTAAACGTTCTTTGTTGCACGATCGGTTTGGTGCACGTTCTCAGGTGTCTGTCTTAACTCAGCTACAAACAGACTTCCTTTGCCTCGTCGAAACCTGGATTACAAAATATTCCGTAAATGAGGAGCCGAAACCGCTATTTTCCAGTTAGATTTTCCACTGGATCATCTTTGGACCTCCAGTTAAAGCACAACTTACACGGCCAAAGTCCTCAGGAGACAGATTTTAGACGGTCATTGTACAGGCAGAGTGGTTCGTTCATGCTATTGGCCGATTGGATTCGTCCGCGCCTTCTGATCAGCTGTGACGCTCGCATTTACCATTCAAACATGACCTACAGCGCGCGTTCTGATTGGTGCACCCGTTGCCACCTTGCACGCTGATCTCTTGTGCCGCCTTGACCATTTCGGTTGACTCTTGGGCAATTAGCCAGTTCACTTGAAATCACGAGACGACCACAGAGAATGCCTTCTACATACCTTGGTGCCACTTCAGGCGAAACGTAATCATACCTTCGTAAGGACTACGACAGTTAGTTGTGTTTGCTGTATTGATCCGACTGACATTACTTCATCAGTTTGTCACATCAAGTAATTTATTAGTCCATTGTTGGTTGAGTCTCACTCACACGGATACGTCCATGCTATCAGTATTCAGTTCTGATTCTATTGTCGTGGCCCCCCTCCTCTCTTCTTACACAGCTAGTTTCAAAACAATCCTTTCCACGTTACAGGATATAAAAAAGGGATACTCGAGAGTCCCCCAGCTTGACCTTCAGGGTGGCCAATTTCCCGGTCCGGCTTTTAAACAAAGGGTTTGCAGAAACGTCATTTTACTGTAAGGATCCCTGACTTTCCACAAAAGTTGCTCGAAAGTCGAAGTAATTGTACCGTGTCATCGCCTATTATGTTGAAACCAATCGTATGGTTGTTCTGACTGTGTTCGTGTGACCTACAGATACCAATCAATGCGTATCTATCTATCTAAAAATTTTAAGTCTGCTACTGAAGAGCTAAACAAATGGTATTGTATCGCTGCACGTGCCTTCTAAATTGATTTACTTGGTTCATTACTTTGCAAGCTCTCTCCACAAATAAGAACTCGGAATTTTCAAAGCATATGTTTCTCATATCAACTGTAGGTATCTTACAATGATCGTCCCTTTTCAATCTTTTCTTTCACGCGATTCTAATCAATGGTTTTCGTTCCACGCTGCTGCAACATCGTATTGACTGGATTTTCGTCATGGCAGAGAGTTGGCCACACTCAGGGGGGTGAAATTTTCCTGATTGGTTCGGCTGTATCACAGCCGCTAGCTGTGACGACCAATCAAACGACTGCATACGGAATACGCGTTCATCTCGCCCACTGATTGGTCGACTAGGCCAAGGCTGGGTTGGAACGCGTTCACAAGCATGTGGTGTGAGAGAAAACGGGAGTTTTGCTTATGGATTAGCTTAGTTCCCATCATAAAAAGCTCATAACTTCGATAAGCTTGAAGAGCCACTTAACCCCGCGGAATTAAAACGCCTACTTCATTCAAGTTTAGCATACCAGTGCACACATCTTTGCCGATATCAACGAATTCCACCACAATATGACCGCAGTTGCCGGTCGGTTGTCAGCTGGATTTCTTGAGTCAACAAATGACTCTTCGGGTAAGTAATGTTCCGCTCTTTTACCTCTCTGTTAGTCCAAATTGAATACGTTTAGTCCCATATCACACCATGCTTGTGGAAAATTTAGTGGTGAAGACTACAGCAGGGCAAAATCAGCCGATACATGCGTACCTGAATCTTGTCAGAATTTTCAGCTGGTACCCGCATATTAGAGTACTGATCACATCCAACCGTTCTCTTTAAAGATTTACACTCGGGTTCAAACAAATCATTCTGAGGAACTGGAACAAAGCTATGCACATACAGTACACGGGGTTTAAGGCTGCCCGCATTTATGAGGGTGCGTGGGATTTGCTTTCTTGTCTCGCTCCTCAGTCTTGCGGTCAGAATCGAACCGGGAGTGAAGACTATGTCAACAAGTCACGTGATATCTGGTCAATACAGGTAATGACATGAAACTGAGCGTCTGACCGAAAGTTGTACGGTCATGAGACCATCTCGTCCTACCGTAGAACATGTATGAGTGATTGGAAGGCCTCAGACCTGGTGACTCTTGTTTGAAAAGAGGGGATGCCATTCTACTTCTAAGCTGTAATGTTCACCTAATGCATTTGAACTCCGTCCGATGTATGCACGTGATTGACTGGCCACATTGTAACGAGATTTTTTTTACTTCAGCCCTACCCAGAGACTAATGAAACTCATTGACATCCGAGGGGGGGCTTCAAACAGTGCCGTATAAAGATCGCCTCGTGTTTCAGTCGGCACGATGTTCGAGAAATCGCCATGCAGCTTGTTAACCTAATTTCATTTCTCATGCTTGTTTCTAGTTGCGTGGCTAAATGACCATCGTTCTTCCCAAGGTCGAATTCGATCCTAGTATAAACTCCGTTACCGTTTTTGGTTATCGGGAACTTTAGTAGGTGATTATAGTACTACTTCAGGGTGCATTTCAGTAGGTATATTCTCCGGTTTTCTCGGGATTAAATCACCGGATGAAATCAATATAAGGCTTATTATTGCTGTTACTTACATCTGTTGTAAATAAATAAAAGTTAACGGAAAAAGTATAGGTGGCTTCTATCTACCTAACCCATAGTGGACAGACAAAAGGGGGGACTACTCTCAGTCTCATCTACTTAAGTCCACTGTGTGGCTTCTGCCGGAACCCACTAGGCTAAAGGACAAGAAGAGTAGACCGACACTGTGAGGATGATAGTCCCTGAGGCACTCACTCTTGGGTTAGCTAGCTAAGACGAAAATGTACATAATAAAAACTAACTAAAGTGAGTGACGGTCATACGAGGTTAGGAATAGCTCAGTGGTCCCCGAAGGTCCGTGGTTCGAACCTCATCCCGGAATCTCGACTGAGGTCTGACCAATCTGACGGTGCTTCCTGCTAGCGTTGTGACAGCTATGTAGTCAAACGATGTCACAGCTGAGTTACTATTATTAGTATTATTACTATCAGACGGCCATTTATAGCCGGGGCACGTGTTTATCCTCCCCTCTATAACAGCAGACCACCCGTTCTTGGCTGCTGGGTAGCGAAAAAAGGATTCACTCTAGCCTTCGTCTCGTAGAAGGCAGAAGGAAGGGGTTTACCGTCGCGGATCACCTGTCCCATCCGGCTAAGCGCAGGGGGAGTTGTGTGAAGAGCACTCGCCTACCTGTAAACCAACGCAAGCTGTGGTGGCCAGCCATTCGCGAATATACTAGAAGATTGGCAAAGTGCATTCATTCACAACCTAATTTGGTGTCCACGGGATTGTACTGCCTCATGTTTCAGTTGGTACAATGTTTGAGATGTTCGGGATACTACTCACAAGGGCATCGGAGTGTTTTCAGCAACCTTACAACTGATGTGTTATGTTGACATGATGTCTTACTGTCTGCGAGGAGGATTGATCGGAATGGGTGCAACGGGCCACAAGGAGGTCTCAGAATACCTGAACAGCATTGATCAATACGTGAAGCTATCCACACAGAGCTACTCAATTAACCAGGGAAGTAGTATATGATCCACTCAACGTTTTAAGTAATCCCGTGGTGTATTGGTGGTTTAATACCGTTCTCGCGTGGCCAAGCTTTCCCGCTTCCTCGCACCCATTTGTTAGCCTCTGACTGATTCCACGAACCATACAGTCGGAACCCAGTAGTCGAGAACCGATGAACATGCCTTCCAGGATGAGCTGAAACAAGTTATTTGGGAAATCCTCAGTGTATAAATCGGACTTTGGCCCTCTCTGGCCAATAGGATCAACCTGTTCTCGTGGTGACAAGATCATCTTTTCCGAATAACTCCTGACCTAAAAATGTGAACTAAACGGCTAATCCACCCCACAAGTCATTTCATGATCTGTTCACTTTGCCGTTGGAATATTAGGGCTAAAAGAGGCCGGCGTTATCTTGATGCCATCTTACGGCAGTGAAGCATCGGTGCTGAACACTGGTGTCATGCTGTCGATGATGATGATGATGATGAAATTTGTATCATCATTCGTTGGACCCCCCCCTTCATAAAGCTTCGAGTGAATACATTCCGATCCTCGCCAACTCCACCTTAATATTAATTTAAACACAAAACTTCAATCTCACGGGAGTAAGAAGACTGAAGACATTGTAAATATGCCAAAATCAGTACGGCTTATGACCTTCGCCTCACTTCATGTTTTGATCTCTTTTCGTTTCGATTAGGAAAGAACTAGGCCGCATCACATTGAAAAGCTCTATATGGGAGCAGAGATCCCAAATGTGGCTGGAGCGCCGGTTTGAACCGTAGATAGGGAGTGAGCGAATATCAACATTGTACCGGGAGAATGGAGCGTAGCTGCTGAATACCCAAATGTCTAAAAGCTATCCTAGTAGAACAAACTAGAGTAACCCACTGACGACGGTTTGTACGATCACCCGCTGGACAGCGTCTTTGTGACAAATGCTGAGGGACGAGGAATATCGTCCTGATGACGATATCTGTTACAGTTTAGAGGACCACGACTGGATCCTTGATCGTTGCATTCGGAACCAGTTGGCTTGAAAGGGCGTTATCCCTTCCAACGAGTCTGTCTCCCAGTAGTTGTTAAAGATAATTCCTCAAAAAAGAGTCGTGCATGAAATTCGACGTGCCTGTCCAATGGGATCCAGAAAGTTTACTCCGTACACCGGCATGGCTGGGATGGGTGAGTGGTGGTTGGCACAGAGTTACTGATCGGAAGGTCGAGCCTTGTCAGAGCTTGACAACCGTTCAGCATCTCATCCTTCACGCCTCCTGGGAGGCTGCATTGAAAGGGAGTAACAGTTGAACGACTATTCTACGCCATTATCGATTGTTGGAAGCACAGATTTGTTCGGTATTCCCCTACGATGCCTCCTGGGTGCATTGAAAGGGAGTAACAGTTGAACGACTATTCTACGCCATTATCGATTGTTGAAAGCACAGATTTGTTCGGTATTCCTTCCCC